TGCCACCACTTTCTGCGTTCTTCTATCACAAAAGCAATTCAACAAGACAAGAACGAGCAAAAGACAAAAGAAGAAAGACTGCTGTTGTGTGATGGTGTACTTACACTAATAACGAATGTAGATGTCTCATGAAGAAAAAAGATTGAAGTTGATCATGTTCCTTTTTACAACTGTCTCCTCTCGCTAAGAATCATTCGCACATCTTTATGCACGTTCACATTAGATTATTTTCTATGAATAAGACATTTTTCGTATGGTGATGATCTTTTTTGCTTTTTTACATGATTGTCTTATACTCGCTCTCCACTATTATTTTAGTAATGAATTAAGGAATCTGATTGGTGTTTCAATATGTAGCAACGCGAATCAGATTGCTTAATTCAGTATTAAAACACATAGTTATCGAATGAGTCATCATCATCAGAACAACACCAGTTTTTTTTTCTTCTATGTACATGACGGTGTTTTTTTTTTCATATGGCAATATCATTACCGTTCGCGAGACACGAGTAAGAATTACCTTGTTTCTGCAGAGCAGCTTTCATCGACGGCAGACACGAGTGCACAGAACATACTTATAGCCACATTCCACACCGTCACTATTACCATGCTTTCTCTTGCCAACGTTAAGTTGTGCTTATAAATGCAAATGCACACAGTCATTCTCAGGGGTGTATTTCACAGTTGTTAAATGAAAACGCATCAAGATTCAGTGTGAGTAAAAGACATGAAGGAGAGACAGCACTTTGGAGTGAACTGTAACTTGTCGTTTGTCAAAAATATGTCATTGAATTTGAAAACTCAGATTGAAATACTTCATCGACTTCAGGGTTTGAAGATCGATTGTTCTACAATCTTACTATCAGGGAAAATCTGTGACCTTCATTGAGTTTCTTTGCCAAATAAAACATGCAAAGTCATGTGCTAACTCTTTGAAACGATGCATGAAATCTAAGAGTATCTTTTCAATAGTTTTCTTGTGAGTCGTTAATACGTTTCCTTAAATTCTACTTTGAAACTTGTTAAGCATAAGAATATTTTTAAATAGTATTTGATTTCATAGGATCGTCGATGGCAGCTATTAAAAACGAAACTGTACCTTACAATCAAATTCAAGGCATTGCATCGAATAACGTGCCCGCCTATTCGAATGGTGATGCGGATATCTTTTCGGTCGAAGAACACTATTTGCATGGGATTTACATGGGAGTCAAATGGCAATGTGTCGAATATGCCCGTCGATGGCTTTTTATGCGTAAACAATGTATCTTTCAAAATGTGCGCCATGCCGCTGACATTTTCACGAATGTGAAGAGTATCGAACGAGTTACGAACGGCAAACATTTTCCATTGAGAGCATATCCAAATGGTTCACCACACAAGCCACAAGCCGATTCGATATTGATTTTTTCACGTGCAGATGACCAGCCATTCGGACACATTGCTATCATCTGTGAAGTGATTCCGGGTTTTGTTCGTATTGCCGAACAAAACATAGATTCGAAGTATTGGCCAGGTGATTATGCTCGTGAACTTCGATTGATACAAAAGGACGATCTCTACTATATCGAAGATGATGAAGGTGTTATCACTGGATGGATGGAAATCGAAGATAATCATCAATTACAACCATTGGATGAATCGAATTTAGATGTCATTCTCAAACAATATCAACACCGAAGACCAGCCGGTACATTAGAACGTTGTATGATTCCGAATAAGAATTTCGACTTGAAAGAGAGCTGGTTAGACAAGAATTGCCCAGCAGAAAAGTACTTTTTAGATATACATGGTGAGAATATTGCTCGAGCTGATACTGATTACTTCCCTTACTATAAAATTGATAATTATCTACTGTTTCACATTGGTACGGCGTCGAATGAAATCCATCGAATGTTCATGGAAGCGACCCAATGTGTTATGAATGATGATGAATTAATGGCACGTTGTGATATACCACAAGTTTTCTGGTCACGCATTCGTTACTCGTGGGCGAATCATCGACATTTGGAGATGAGTGGTCGATTGGATTTGGCCTTCAATGGTGAACAATTGAAAGTATTCGACTACAATGCTGACATTACTTCTGCTCTCTTTGAATGTGCCATTATTCAAGAAAAATGGGCAAAAGCTGTTCAACTTGAATCGACATTCTTTCCCGGCTTTCAAATGCATCGAGCACTTGTGCATAATTGGAAGCAGATGAATATTAAATCATGTGTGCATCTATTAATCAATAATGGTCCAGAAGAAATGCTCACGGCTCTCTATATGCAGCAAGTCATGAATGAAGCTGGGATTGACACAAAACTATGCAGCATGAGTGATGATTTATATTGGAAAGATGGCAAAATTGAAGATAGCGATGGTCGACTAGTGACCACGGTTTGGAAACTATGGATGTGGGACACCATTTTCAACGATTATTTTAATACACAAAAGGAACGTGGTCTCGATGTTGACAATGATCTTGTTTGGATACCGACTAATGGTGATCATCCTCATCTTAGTGATATTTTTCTTAATGATCAGATTCAAGTTATTGAGCCTCTCTGGAAAGTCATTACCAGTAATAAGGCACTTCTACCGATTCTCTGGTCAATTTATCCAAATCATCAGTATCTTCTACGCAGCGAATGGACAGTAACAGATGCATTGAAATGTAGTGGCTACGTGAAAAAACCAATTGTCGGTTGTTGTGGTCAAAATATTACATTGCACAATAAAGATGACGAAACCGTGATCAATGAGACAACGGGCAATTATGAAAATCGAAATTGTATTTATCAAGAACTTTTTCCTTTGACATCTTTCAACGGTTATTATTGCATTTTTGGCAGTTGGATTCTCCACGGTCGTTTTACTGGTTTCTGTGTCCATGAAGATCAAAAACTAATTACTGATGCGAAAAGTCCGGTCACCACTTCTTGCATTGTTTGGAAGTAACACTTTTGGTTTTCTCAATGCTACCCACTTTCCCTTGATATAAATGGACATACGCAGCTTGATCGAGTGCCAATCCGGATTTTGTCACGTCTCTCTTCTGCTAGAAATTTGCTATAAGAATTTATTTTTTAAAAGAAAAAAGATCTTGAAATCTGCTTGATTCTAGAAAAACAAGTTCAGAAAAGTGATGAAATGATAACACATGAGACGCAGACACAACCTTCCCAAAATAGATATCGAAATAATAAACAGTGAGACAACGGTGTTTTCTCGGTCAAGATAAGCGGGACGAGATTTATACCAAACAAATTGACGAGATCGAGATCAGATTCAGTGTCTGTAGAGTTGCTGCTGGTAAAGCATCGTTTTGATTGAGCAAGATGAACGAATTGATTAAACATTTTGTAAGTGTAATATTGTTATTTGGAATAGTCGTTTCGAACCACTCAAAGATACTCATATTATATTCATCTGGTTAAATGTGTCAATTCTATTGTTCCGGCAGATGTCGGATGTGAATGTGGAGTGTAGGTATTGACCCAACCGAACCGAAAACACACACCCTACGTGTTCTTTAATTTGAAAATTTAGTAAGTAATCAGTTTTGGGGTGTGAATGTGGGGTATGGGTATGAATCAGGCTCTCGTATTAACTGACATCCACAATCACAATCACACTCACATCCACATCCTTTGTGCAGAATTTTTTGGGTCTTTCAAGTGAAACTATTTATAGGCAAATGAAGAAATGTGTTAGCAAGCGTATTACCAATATACAGGCGTGTGGACACACTAAAAATAGGGTAAAGTAATATGAGTAGGAAGGCGTCAAGTCGCTTCCAAAGCATATTGAATTTGGTAGCAAAAGATTCGCCGTTTAATTCTGCATCCAAACGTATGCTTCTTTGGAAAGTTCTATACTGGATCGATTTAGGTTCGTATGCGCCCCGTCCTTAATATGGATCATTGTACTCCATATGCATTGAACTTCAGTGAGTAAGAGTGAGGTTTTCTTTTATGTGTTGTAGCTCGTCGTCTAGTCTTTCTACAAATCTTTTGCTCTTGCTGTGTGGTTCTTATGAATAGAGCGCTTATCTGAAAACAATTCAAAAAAAAACAAAAGGAGGCAAAGCAGACGTAAACGGAATAGATAGTGTTATCATGCTGCGAAAGTAAGAAGCGAGTCATTTGAAAAAAACAAACGAACGGTGTAAGAAGCAAAATAAACCTAAAATTACCCAGAACGTTTAGTGTTCGATTACTTGATCGTTGTGAGTAAATTATTAGAAAGATTTGAAAAGCAAAAGAAACTGTTTTAAATATTATATACTTAGCTGCAAGAAGCTGCTAATTATTGAAAGCGATTGAGACAGATAGGACATTGAGATTTGTAAGTATAGATGTGCGGGACCAAGTTTTTTAGTCCCGTCACGGTTAAGGTTTTTTTTGGTCTCAGTTCCGATAAAAGTGTTTTGGTCCTGGCCTATAGAAAACTATTCCAAAATCGATTCGTATCACATCTAAACTAATTCTTCAATATTCGTGTTTTCATTAATTTAGTTGATGGCTAGCACTGTTTTGGTTCATCTCTCTGAGAATAAGTTCTGATTCAAATTATTGATGAGATAGTTTGCCTAAAACTGTTGAGTATTTGGCTATAAACTTCAGTTCTGATGCGGGCAATTATTTTTTCTCGCAGTTTTAGTCTTTGTACCGGCCTCAGTGACTTATACTGGGACCAGAATCAATACTGATTCGCATGTCTCTAATCAAGATGTTTTTCTCTTATTATCACAAGATATTAGTATGACAATCAAGGGGGAAACAGCGAAGACTTCAGCCGTGAAGTCCCATGAAGTCTTGTAAGTCTTTTGAAGTCTTCTGAAGTTTCTTGAAGTCTCTTGAAGTCTTATGAATTCTCATAAAGTCTCTTGAAGTCTTTGAAGTCTCTGAAGTCTCATAAAGTCTCTTGAAGTCTCATGAAGTCTCATGAAGTCTCATGAAGTCTCATCAAGTCTCATCAAGTCTCATCAAGTCTCTTGAAGTCTCTTGAAGTCTCTTGAGGGTGTGGGTGTGGGTGTGGGGGGGGGGAGGTGTGAGTGTGAATGAATAATATATTATTACCCACGCCCACACCCATACCCATCACACCACCACCCACACCCACACCCTAGAATTTATACGAGAAAGAATGATTATTTATTCGCAAACGATTTGAATCTTGAGAGAAGATAATAGTAGAATGGTTAAAGTTTTAGGGTCTCAAGTATTAGTATCACGTCCATGCCTTCATACTTACACTAAGAATATTTTAGCCCTTTTAGTTCTTTTATCATGTGAGTTTAAGTTTGAGCGTGGGTGTTCCCTTTACTTTTACACCCACTAAAAGACGAAAAAGCTTGTCAGCGCAGCCCCTTTGGGGCTGAAATGTGGAACTCACGTATGTTCTTCAGCTTCATTATACTAACATGAAATATAGAACGTATAAAATCAAGAATTTCTAAATTTTTTAATTTTCTGACAGGCGCCCTTATGTTTCGTTTTATTGTTGCTATTCGTTCAGTATTTTTCGTTTTTCACATTCTTTTTTCTCTTAGTTCTATATTTGTTCTTTTTTATTATAAGCATTGAATTAGATGGTAGATGAAACTATTATATATGTATATATTTATTTATTTATCCATTATTTAATCCTCGTTGCTAAAGTCTGTAATGGGGAGCTGTCTGTAATGGGTAGTTGTCTGTAATGGGGGGAAGGGGGTATGTCTGTAACGTTCTCTTTCTCCGTTGCTCAGTGTCTGTAATGGGGTGGGGGGAGGGGGAGCCGCCAAACCTCGAACTGAAAATTTACACTCACTATTTTCTTCGGAAATATACGTGAGTTCCACAAAACAGACTTTTGGGAGCAATCAATTTTCAATATCATTCCAGTTCGTGATTCTCAGAAGACACTAGTTACTCTGTTATGAATAAGGGTGTCAATTTATATTTACTTTTCATTTAATTTATGCGTAAATTAAATGATAAATAATTTATATTTATTATACAGTAAACGGTAAATGACACCCCTACTATTTGATAAGTTTTGTTTTTTGCATGTTATAGAGGTTTCATGTAATTTCTATAAGGTATTTTCATACGCATGGAATCTGCCTCTTGAAGCCCTGTGAAGTCTTGTGAAGTCTTATGAAGTTTTGTGAAATCTTGTGAAGTTTTGTGAAGTCTTGCGAAGTTTTGTGAAGTCTTGCGAAGTTTTATGAAGTCTTGTGAAGTCTTATGAAGTCTGATGAAGTCTTATAAAGTCTCAAGAAGTCCTACAAAGTCTCTGAAGTCTTATGAAGTCCGTGAAGTCTCACGAAGTCTGTGAAGTCTAACGAAGTCTTTGGAAGTCTTTTGAAGTCCCATGAAGTCATACGAAGTCTTATGAAGTCTTGCGAACTCATTGAAGTCCTATGAAGTCTTCAGAAGTCTTTAGAATTCTTTTGAAGTCTTGTGAAAATATGAAGTCACTGCGGCTGAAGTCTGTTGAAGTCTGTTGAAGTCTTTTGAAGTCTTGAAGTCCGCTATTTCCCCCTTGCCCACACCCATCCACACCCACACTCACCCACACCCACGCTCAGTCCCTCATTTTGCGCCAATAAGTTCATTATCATTTAAATCAACTTCAACCGTGAGTAGTAGTACAGAACTTAGCTAATAATAATTATCAGCGCTATGATGAATGCTTGATCTTCATCACCATCGATCTCTACTCCGTAGGCATCACGAAGAGTATTGTATTTCGTGTTTATAATTGCTGCTGTGCGTCCTTCTTTTGTCAATGTGAATGAACGCCCTAACAAATCCAGTGCTTCCAATTTATATTGAGGGTGTGGGTGTGGGTGTGGGTGGGTGTGGATGAGTGTGGGTGTGTGAAAGATCAATGTACACGTCCACACCCACATTCACACGCACATTCCACACCCTCACCCATATCCATGGCAACGTCCACACCCACACCGACACTCACCCACACCCACACCCCACACCCTATAGAAAAAAGTCAAAAATACCTCAGTTATTAAGGACATCCTTCTCCGAACGTTAAAATCAAAATATTTTTTTCCGAAAATATTTCGTCTTTGAATTTAATCTACTTGTAGTCATCTCATTGTTAACCGATGATCCTGTTAGAGTCATATGTCAAGGTGCGTGAGATATCTTTCAACTTCAGTTCGAAATATTTAATCGATATACTGTTTTTCTCTCATAACGAATGGATATTTTCTTTTGTACTTTAAAAAATTTTGTTCTAGTACTTTGGGAAATCTTTCACAACATTTGTCTTAGTAAAAAAAGAACTATGTGTTTTTTAAGCTACACCCGGTATTTTGACTTTTTTTATATTGAAAGGACAAACAATATGAAGAAACCAAAAAACAAACTAACCACTCTAAATACTGTTCAGTACCTGTAGAATATGTCTATTACATAAAAATAAACTAAAGGAAATAGTTGATTTCAAAGACATACATATTTTTAGATTTGCAAAGTCACGTGCTTAACGAATGAAATTGATTCTGCAGACTATGATTAGTAATTTAGATAAATAAATAAAAATGATGTTCTTCTTTTACTATAGTTCGTTGGTTTCAAATTCAGATGGACGAATGCATTGTTTAACACATTGGGCACGATTCAGTTTTCGTATGAAATTTCTGCAAGATGTCATTTTTATGAATAGTTCACTTCTAATAAATGCACTTAATGACCCTTTCGTTATCTTCTACTGATTATTTATCGTTCTCTTTCTTGTATTACTACATAATAAATCATTTTTCGCGAGTAACTAGAATTGCCTGAGTCAATTTTTCGTTCTTTTTCATGTTATATATAACATATGTGAGAAGAAGGAGGAAAATTCCAGGCTTTTCTCTGTTATTCTTATCCATGTGTTGTTTTACTATATAAAGACGAGTGAATTTTTGGAATAGTACACATTTCGTTCGAAGAAACCGATTCAGAAGAAAGCGTTAGCTCACGAAGTGAAGTGAGTTCTTTGGATGATGATTTCGATAGAATACATCTTGAATCTGAAAGCTCCGACGAAGAAGTGACAAATGACGAGGTCGATTCAAACGTCTGGAATGAAATAAAACCAGAATCGGATGATGAATTTATGGAAGATCATGGTCTCGTCGAAGAAGTAACTTCGACTTCAGGAGACAATACAATCGACCCTATCGATTGCTATCGGCATTTCATTACGGACGAAATTATTGACCTTATGGTTCATGAAACTAATCGCTATGCGGAACAATATTTGCAAACTCATGAGATTAGCAGACGGTCAAAATTTCGTCAATGGAAACCAACCACCGATGAAGAGATGCTGAAGTTCTTTGGAATCATTATCGAGATGGGATTGGTACAAATGCCGAAACTGAAATACTACTGGAGCAGTAGTCAATTGTACGGATCAGAGATCATACGAAATGCCATGTCGAGAGAGAGGTTTGAATTACTCCTCAAATTTTGGCATTTTACAAACAACAATAACAAGAATTCGGACCACGACAGGCTGTTCAAGTTGAAACCACTCTCAGATTTACTCAAAGAGAGGTTTTCATCAGTATATATGCCTGGCTCAGTTATTAGCATCGACGAAAGTATGGTACCATGGCGAGGCAGACTTTTGTTCAAACAATACATCCCTGGAAAAGCACACAAGTACGGCGTAAAGATATACAAGCTAGCGGCTACCAATGGATACACCTGGAATTATGTGATCTATACTGGTCAGCAAGATCCTATGGCAGGTCGTGGACATGCTGAAGCAGTCGTAATGAATCTATTGAATGGTCTTTCGGGATGTTATCGAACCGTGGTGGCTGACAACTTCTTTACTAGTATTTCTCTAGCAAAACGTTTGTTGGAACAGGATACGTATCTTATTGGAACATTGAGAAGTAATCGTACTGGATCAGGATATGAAGTTGTTCAGAAAAAGCTCAAGCCTGGTGAGGTTTATGGGCTCCAGAACAAAATCGGTGTAAAATTGATCAAGTGGAAAGATAAAAGAGACGTTCTGATGATATCTACTAAACCATTTCATTCAGCAACTGTGGTGAACACCGGAAAAATCAATAAACTGAATGAACGCATCATGAAGCCGCAAGTTGTTCTCGATTACAATGAAGGCAGACAAGGTACTGATTTATCAGATCAACTATCAACATACCACACATGCCTGAGACGGTCAATAAAATGGTATAAAAAGGTGGCATTTGAATTGGTATTCGGAACTGCAGTGGTTAATAGTTATCTGATTTACAAGGAAAATTATGCGGCGAGCAACATACAGATTTTACAGTTTCAAGAAAGTCTTGTACAATCTTTACTCCTTGGTGCGCCAATCGAGAAGCTAAAACCTGGTCCGATACAACAATCAGCAAGTCATTCCAAGCACAAACTCGCTGATCACAAGCTCGAAGAAAAGGAAGGATCTACGCGCAATGTTGGCAGACGATGTACTAGCTGCTATGCGAAGGGAAAGGCACAACAGTCAAGAGAAGCAAGCTATGCGGCAGCAAAGAAAGTGAAAACTTTTTGTTCTGACTGTGATAAGTTTTTTTGTCTAGAGTGTTTTAATGACAAGCATTATCCTATGGAATAAAGGACGCAAATAAAGCACTGAACACAGAACAACTGACACTTCATGTTTATAACCTCGTGCCTAAGAAAAAATCAAAAGAAAGTGTTCTTCTATACAGTTACTCGTAAAACCATAGCGTGGCCCACCGGTGGGCCACATCGTGCCCAATGTGTTAATGATTTCTTCTGAAACGCTACTGACTATGGTATGGTGTTTATGTTTAATAAAATTTATTCAATATTATCATCTTCTTCAATATTTATGTCGGCATGAGAGGTGTCAATCTATATTTATCAATAAATAAAACTTATCGTAATTTATTTTTAAATATAAATTATGAAAAAAAGAATTATTTATGTTTATTTTAAATATAAATAACCGATAATTTATATTAATTTTAAAGTAAAAGAAAAATGACACCCCTACATAAAATAGGACTGCAGTGAAGGTATTGCGGGGAAGGTTTGCCTATTCTTTTTATTCCCACTCAAACATAATGGATAGGTGCACAAAACTCTTGTTGTATCTTTAGCTTGTGAAATATTTCGTTATACGAACGAAAAAGTTGATCTTATCTGCTAAAGCAGACTTTACGTGGTATCATGTCTGTATCAATAAAATTCTATAAAATGATCTTTCAGTCAAATATTGATCATGTATAGAATTATTTAGTTATTGCAACATCCATATATCATAAACATAAATATTTATTCATATTGATTTAGAGTTTTCCTAGCGAGCTGATAATAAAATAGTAACGAAATGTGTTATTCAAATTTCTTTATGAATAATTTTATCTTGGAATTAAGAAACAATAAAATTATTCTGTCGTTTATTGCGTCGTTTCATGTCGCTTAAAGATCGTTGAATAGGGCTCAACTCTAAGAAGATCCTAATCAAAGTAAAAACTTCATAAGTAAACAAGCTCTAGCATATCCAATTTCAGGTATGTTAGTCTTTGAATAGAAATAATAGAGCAGTTATAGGTTACATCTTCGAAATGATTTTCGATTTTCAATAATAAAACTTTATTAAAGTTGTTATCAGACGATTCTACATCTGAATCAGACACCAAAAAGTTCAATACAGCGAATCTAGATTCCAAAAAGTCTCATGATCAGATCGGGTTCTAAAACATTTCTAATGCATTGGCTTTTGCTCCAAAAAATTTCGACCTTCAATGGAGATATTAGAGCTATTTCATTTTCCAGTTTATTTCAAAGAACATATTTCTAGAAAATAGTTATTACAGTTTATTCAGTTAATTAACATTTCGCTATATGAACAATATCTTCGAATTGAATTCGAAAAAGAAAATGTAAAGTTTTGAAAGTTATTTAATATTTTTATCAAATGAATATTAATTCAAACACTTTCTAAGATAAAACTTTGTTGCAATTAACTAAATTATTGTTAATATTCACTTTTTAAGAAAATAGTCAATTGCAAATATGGAAAATATCAAAAGATCCACTTCAACGTTTTAAAATTTTATTCTTTAACATAAATAAATTTTTATTTACATTATTAGTTTAAACAGTACAACAAAAAGATACAGGAACAATGAAAACCAAAAGAAGAACTTCAATTTCAAAACCACCAAATATCACATCTAAAAAAACATAGAATTATGTTAGATTTAAAAATTTTACATATAACAATAATATTTACATTTTTTTTGCTTGTACCAATCCTTTTTATTTTTTTCTTTTTTCTCATTGGCCTATATAAGAAAAAAAAAGATAAAAAATCTAGTTTTTAATTTAAAATACATGCTTACTTAGTGTTCCTCCATTTTCTGTATTCTTCATTGATCTCGTTCCAAAGTTTCAAATCCTGTTCTTCTTTATCTTCAATTAATTGTTTTATTTCTTTTTGCAGCCTTCTTTTTCTTTTTCGTGCTGCTTTTATCTTCTGGTTAAAGTGATACAGGCTTATTTGTCGTTCTTCTTGTAATGCACGTATATGTTCCGGCAAATCATTATCATGCATGTAGTGATCAACTGTTGTTGCATGTACAATATCATTAATACGTGCATTAATATCATCATGTGCAACATCATTTAAACCTAAAATAACATCATCATGTGCAATATCATCAATGTGAGCAATAACATCATTATGTGCAACATCATTGATATATGCAACATCATTAACATGTGCAATAACATCATCATGTACAACATCATCAATATGAACAAAAACATCGTTATGTGCAACATCTGATGACGATTCATTTCCTTCTGGTGATAGCACATTTTCGCTGGTATTCAGCCTAAAAATAATCAACATATGACATTAGTTCATCGAATGTAAATCCTAATGAATAAAGCAGCACATTTACTCAAGTATAAACCTATTTATCCTAATTTATTTTTATGCTTTATCAATTAGAAAATCGTTCTATCCGTTTTTTTGATAATATATTAGTTTCAAAAAACCACGTTGTTAATTTACAACAGACAAAAAAGTTACGTATCAATTATCTAAAAATTTCTCTTTTAAAACTCGTAAATTTGAATTAGATAGTATTTATAAAATGTGTTCAGGTAATTTAGAATTTATTTGTATGATTGATTCCTAATGTGCTCTCCATCATAACATGAAATAAATTAGGAACTGTTATGTTAAATCTATATATAATTGAAAGTTTTTTGTTTTTGAAATATGTAAAAGAAATTTTGATGAATTCAATGTTATGACCCAGAAATATCTCTTTACTGTACTTTATTTATAAATATAACTACGTTACAAAAATTTATTTTAGAACTTTTATGACTTGTTTAATAAGTAAATCAATGGAAATTCACAGTTATACTCAAATCCAAAAAAAAACACACATCAATAGTTTTTCTTAGCGGTGAAACTGATATAATCACAGCATAATTAAAAAAACTTTAATATTCTCTTCTTATTAATTCAGAAATAAAGTATGAATGCTAATTTAAAAGTATTAACTTACATATTTGTATTTTCAATTATATCATTTGATATTGATCTATCGAATGAAACTGCATCAAGATGAGAAGCTGCAACAGAAAAAAATATTTTTATTCATTACCATTTGATTAAATAAAAGTAAAAATACATAGTATTTATTATCAATAAGTTTTGAAACAAATATACATCTATATGAAAATCTACGAATTATTTCGAATGTTAATAAAACTTTATAATAAATTATTCTATACAATGAAAAAACTCAAGCCAAGTTTAGATTTAAAATAAATTGACGATTTTGCACAGAATAAAAATTTAATCAATATATTTGTTTTCTCTAACAGACCAACCATAGAAATCTCTTAATAACCCTTCTAGAAAAACCATGTATGTTCTTGCTATATCAGCATCGTTTGAATTGATGTTTTCTCAAAGTGATCTATTAATGAATTTGTATCGTATAAATTGTTTACAAATTAATATTTGCATTTTGATATCTTTTAAGCTCAAATAAGATATTAATTTGAATGGGGATTTTAAAAAAAAACCTTTTTTTCTTCTAAACAAATGTATGTTAAGATTTTTGTTTATAAAGCTGACTCGAAAAATGGCATAATTCACCGGAAATAGCTATTTTCTTTAGCATACTTTCAAATTAGCTGTTCAATTGTCAATTACATTTGAAAATGCTGTATTCATTTATAAATTTTAACTTTACATGTGATAAATCGAATATCTTTTGGGAAAAGAATTGTCTTTTTTGTTACTGAAAAAAATTTTTCCATCAATTGTTTTCATCGTTATCTCATTATAATTAAATTTCCTATTGCTTTTTTCTTGCTTTATCGTCCTCCTAAACTTTAGCTCCATCTTGACGAAGTACAGAGAATTGATGATTATCTTTCATCATAAAATTTCAAGAAACTAAATTATTATGTTACTTTATTTTATCATATAATAGATAATTTACATTTCCTCTATATTCATCCTATCATGATAGTGGTTATGATTGAAAAAAAATACACTGATACTCATGTCTTAATTTAAAATATAGATTTTTTTAAAATACTTACAAGAATCTACAGGTAGATCATCAGTTTTATTATTCACAATATTTTTCTTCTGTTTTGGTTGTCGAGTTACACGAGGTGAAACCGGAATTTCTGTGAAACAAAAGAAATAATAAAAGACAATTTAAAAAAAAATTGGGAAAAGTCAACTATGCAAAATCGAAAAATAACATATACTATTGGATGCTGCTCGAGTTACTCCGCAACATCATATAGGCGATTTTTCAATTCTGAATCGTTCTTCTTATTCGACATGAGTTTTCCTTTTAATTACGTACCACCTTTACGAAAATAAAATACAATTAGAAGCGGTTTGCGTTTTATGGAAGTTTTTGATAATGATGTGGACATGGTGAATTTTTTCAGCTGCTTAAGTACAGGTTTGTTCAATCGTTCGAAATCATAGTTGACAACAATTGACTTAAATGTATTCCCGAGTTTCTTTTTTATCATTTTCTTCATTTTGGAACTTCTAAATAAAAAGAACAAGCAGCTTATTTCTTTATATATGCAAAAACTATACAATTACAACATACTTATAATTGGATAAAGTAAGAATATCAAAAACTGTATAAAGATGTTCACTTTATTGATGTTGTTAAATAGGCATATTAAACAAGGTGAAGACGAGACAACCAATGAAACATAATGATTATTAGGATATTATCTAATATGCAGAAAATAATCAATTAAACTACAAACTAACTATATTATTTCTATTATATATTTTGAATTTAAAAAAACATATTTGAAAAAAAAACGGTTTGTCCAATAGATGGCGCCATATTATGCCTCTCTTTAGGAATAAACACATCCCATGTGATACAAACCGGAAAAAAACCGCCGATTAACCGGCGGAATACCGATCGTACAACTGAGAAGTTTACCGCCGGTTATCCGGCGGTTTTTTCCGGTTACCGCCGGTTTACCGCGGTTATTCGGCGGTTTCTTAAATCGATCCGGATTCCAACAGTACTTATTCAGTTTGATAGATTTTTTGATAGTTTTATTATTTTTTAATAATATTTTATTCCTTTCTTTGCATTTTATTTAAAAAATGTATAAAAAAATCCACAAACAGCTTTAGCCGAAAGATGCGATAAGGACAGTTCACGTTTTCTCGATAACTTTTCATAGAAAAGGATTCTCAAGTTGCAATATTCACCATTCATAGATGAAAGATAAGGATATAAACTATGTTAAATTCGATCGATTAGAAATTTACCTATACGACCAGTTTGTATTGTATATTTGTGGACGTTTTTTGGTAAAATAATTTATTTTTTTTAATTCGTTCTTAATTTTAAAAAGGAGATAAAGTCGATAGATCTACGCAGCGTAGAGAGTTTTAGACTACATTGTTGCGTTCTAGAAATTTTTCAGAGATAGTCTTTGGACTAAATCGTCTTGTGTCATCACAAAAAAGATTAAGAGAGAATAACTGAGCCATTTTGAATCAAGCAGTGATGTTTGTTCTCAGATCTAACGTAATTTTTCTTAAGTCAGACGAAAAAAGTTTTCAAATATTTTAAGTTAAGTTGCCACAGAGTTCACAGATAGCGTTGGGGAATTCTTTTTCTTCCGACTGAAGTAAAATTACGTTAGATCTGAGAACAAACATCACTGCTTGATTCAAAATGGCTCAGTTATTCTATCTTAATGTTTCTTGCGATGACACAAGACGATTTAGTCCAAAGACTATCTCTGAAAAATTTCTAGAACGCAACGATGTAGTCTAAAACTCTCTACGCTGCGTAGATCTATCGACTTTATCTCCTTTTTAAAATTAAGAACGAATTAGAAAAAAAAAATTATTTTACCAAAAAGCGTCCACAAATATCCCTAGTCGACTCCCACTCGCAAAATCACCGGTGACTCCCCTCAAAAATGCGAACTCCCTGGTGAATTCCCAGAGAATCACCTTTATTTTCCCCAGTGAATCCCGAAAGATAAGAACTCCCCAGGAAGTCCCTAGGGAGTCACCTTGGGAATATTTAAGGGAATCCCAAGGTTTTAGGCAGTGGGAGAAAATTAAAAACTCCCTGGGGAGTCCCTCCACGGGGACTCCTCAGGAAGTTATTTTTCTGTTGATTTTTTATTATAAAGTGAATAAAAATTTTACGTTTATACCAAAGTACATCTACTCAAATGTACCTAAATAGTTGGTTTTAGAAACGTCAGACTAGTACAAAAAAAGAAGTGGTAGATAGAGAGATAGACAGATAGGTAGGAAGGTAGATAAATAGATAGGTAAGTAGATAGACGGATAGATAGGTAGGTAGATAGATAGGTAGATAAACATATAGGTAGGGTGTGGGTGTGGGTGTGGGTGTGGGTGTATGGGTGCGGGTGTATGGATGTGGGTCTGGGTGTGGATGAATGAGAAGAGGAACACCCACACCCACACCCACACCTACCCACACGCACACCCACACCTACACCCATACGTACCCACACCCGCACCACCCACTCACACCCGCACCACCCACTCACACCCACACCCCAGCCACACCCATACATCCACCCACACCATTTCTAGTCTGAAGACCACTGGATTCGTGGATTCGAAGAAGCGTAGACATTCTACCGATCGCCAGCGATGTATACCCGCGAATCGTCATATCCATCGCCACATTACCGGTAGATCCGAAGATGCGTAGCCATCTTGTCGAACATTAGGAGCGCAGACCTGTTGATTATTAATTGGTAGAAGCTTGTTAGTTGGTAGATTCTTAGACCCAGTAGACTCTCTGAAGCATTGAAAGGAAAGGGCTATATGAATTTTCAAAATCGATTTAAAATTTAAATCATCTTCACCAAGCGGTCTTTCTTTCTGGGTAGGAGAGATAAGAGAGTTTCGTGGCATGCATGAGTTTGGCGTTCGTCATGATAAAACGATCGAATATCGAAGAACATCTAGCTCTTTTCAATCGCGCACAATCTCATTAGCATAAAACTCCATCTGAGCATTCACCAAGCTATTTCTCTTTTAATTTTTCAAGTCTGTCATATGCATGATCTAGTCAAATATAGATGATACACATAAATCGAGCATAAAACCTTCTTCTAAGAACAGAGCGTACTTTCTTGCATGGGACACTGTTGCCTGAATGCGGTATCTTGGTCGGGTAAGAAAATTTGTATGATGCTTTAATTCGGGTTTCTCATTTCGAATCAACCTAAGCTAATCACGGCGGGAATACTATGAAGATAGATTTTGTTGACAATAGAAAGAGTAACAGAGAGTCTCGCTCTCTCGTGATTACACTTCATTTACCACAAAAAGGCAAGAAAGAAAAGTTTCAACGATCATTCATCTAAAAGTCAGTGATTGTGTGTGCTGTAGGCCACCTAATATCTTCCTAGAAAGTAGAAACAAGTGAAAAACACTCTGTTTTTTATTTGGCTTGAAGTACAGAATGCGAGCATATAATCACAACTCGTTTTCAAGTAACCGAAATATAATCTGAGTTCGCATCTGCAAATCACCTATAAATGGTCCCCGTACTCGGATGATTTCTCCAAAACGCATAAAAGATTCGAGCCTTTTGTGTTCAAAGAACTATGCAGACATCTATCAGTCGAAGAAATATATCAAAAACAGACTTCGTGATATCTTCCAAAAAGTAGCATTCTTTCCATGGACCTATCCACATACGTCCGTTCTCCAAGCGAGCAGAAGAGGCAATGAGAGCGCTTTTTTTCTACCATTAATGAAAATAAACAGCTCTGCCTATGAGAAAAAATGAATCTGTCTCTCTCTCTCACTCTACGAGCAAAAAAAGTAAATTTATCTTTCTCTCTCTCAATCCATGAAAAAAGCTGTTGTTTTTTCATAGATTCCTCCTTGCTCCGCATTCGACGTATATATAAAGCCGAACCACAACAGTAGAACTATACCATCTACATACTTGCTCATATTCATCTATCACTCTCTCCTCAAGCATCGAACAGCAATAAACGACAATGCAGAAGATCAAGCAAATAGTTTATTTCATCGTCCTATTGGTGTTGATGGCAATAATCTACATGCCACAGGCGGCGGCGAATCAAGATGCGCATGATTTTTGTTTTTGAAGACGCCACAGACGCTACATATATCACACAGCGAAGTATTCGAATAGAACCCTCAAGCTACGAAGTGTTCATTTGCCATATCATCTCCAACTATATTAGTGCCTCTAAAAGTATGGCTTCAAAGTGTCCAAAATATCTGAATCGAAGCTTTGTTTCAATTATTCATTTGTCGTGTGTTAGTCGATCCAATAATGAATTACAATTTTTTTTCTCTAAGAAGAAGAAAATATTTGAATAGAACCTTATTATGAATTACTCATTTTTCATATGTTCATCGATCATGTCATCAACTCCAATCTTTGCTTTGAATTGAGCAAAATATTCCAATAGAATCCTCGTATGAAGTAATCAGTTATCATGTGTTTTTTGTTTATCTAATCAACTCCAAATCTTTCAATCAAATTCAGCAAAATCTTTAAATAGAATCTTGGTATAAATTATTCATTTGTCGTGTGTGTTCGTCGATCATGTAATCAACACCAATCTTTGCTTTGAATTGAGCAAAATATTCCAATAGAATCTTGGTATGAATTATTCATTTGTCGTGTATTCATGGGTCGTGTAATCAATTCCAATTCTTTTGCTTCGAATTGACCAAAATATTTGAATAGAATTTTTCTATGAATTATTCAGTTGAGCTGTGTTCATCGATTATATAGCCATTTTTATCTATTTTCGAAGCGAGCAAGATAATTGAAAAAAAAATTATAAAAACTTTTCATTTGACATGTGATATTCGGTCATCTTATCAGTCTCAACCCTTTTCTACCGAGCTATCACAATCTTTGAATCGAAGCTCTGTTTGAATTATTCATTTCCCGTGTATTCATCGATCGTGTAATGAACTTCAAATCTTTCCTTTGAAGTGAGCAAAATATTTCAATACAATCTTGGTATGAGTTACTCATTTGTAGTGTGCTCGTCGACGATGTAATAAACTATAAATCATAGCTTCGAATTGAGCAAAATATTCGACTAGAATCTTCGTATGAATTATTTATTTGTCGTGTGTCCGTCGATGATGTAATCAACTCCAAATCTTTGCGTCGAATTGAGCAAAAGATTTGAATAGAATCTTCATATGAATTAATCATTGCTCGTGTGTTCACTGATGATACAATTAGCTGCAAACCTTTGCTTCGATTTCAGCAAAATATATGAATAGAATCTTTCTACGTATTATTTATTTGTCGTGTGTTCATCAATCATATAGCCATCTTTGTCTTTTTCGAATTGAACAAAATATCTGAATAAAATCTTGATTGTTTGTATTATTCATATGTCGACCGATCTTCGATTATATAGCCCACTCCAAAAATTGCTTTCAAGTGAGCAATATATTTTAATAGATTCTTTGTTTGAATTATTCATGTGTTATGTGTTCCTCGAGCATGATATTAACTGCAAATATTTGCTTTGAATTGAGAAAAATATTTGAGTAGTATCTTTCTATGAATTATTCATTTGTCGTGTGTTCGTCGATGATATAATCAACTCCAAATCTTTGCTTCGACTTCAGCTAAATATTTGAATAGAATCTTGGTATGAAGTAATCAATTGTCGTGTGTTCGTCGATCATGTAATCAACTTCAAATCTTTGCTTCGAATTGAGCAAAATATTTGAATAGAATCTTCGTATGAATTATTCATTTTTCATGTATTCCTCGAGCATGTAATAAGGTGCAAATCTTTGCTCTGAATTCAGCAAAATATTTGAATAGAACCTTTGTATTATGAATTATTCATTTGTTGTGTGTTCGTCGATCATGTAAACAACTTCAAATCTTTCCTCTGAATTGAGGAAACTATTTCAATAGAATCTTGGTATGAATTATTCATTTGTCGTGTGTTCATTGATCATGTAATTAACTCCCACTCTTTGCTTCAAACTAAGCAAAATATTTGTGTAGAATTTTGTTATGATTTATTCATCTACCGTGTGTTCGTCGATCATGTATTCAACTCTAAATATTTGCTTCGAATTGAGCAAATATTTGAGTCGAATCTTGCTATGAACTAGTCATTTGTCCTGTGTTCGGGATGCATGTAATCAACTCCAAATCTTTGCTTCGAATTGAGCAAAATATTTGTATAGAATCTTCCTATGATTTATTCATTTACCGTATGTTTGTTGATCATGTAATCAACTCCAAATCTTTCCTTCGAATTCAGCAAAATATTTGAATAGAATCTTCGTATGAATTATTCATTTGTCATGTGTCCGTCGATGATGTAATCAACTTCAAATCTTTGCTTCGAATTGAGCAAAAGATTTGAATAGAATTCTTTTATGAATTATTCATTTGTTGTGTGTTCGTCGACGATGTTATCAACTTCCGGCCTTTGCTTCGAATTGAGCATAATATTTTAATAGGACCTTTGTTTGATCTATTCGTTTGTCGTGTGTTTATCGATCATGGAATCAACTCCTAATATTTGCTTCGAATTCAGCAAAATATATGAATAGAATCCTTCTATGATTTATTCATCTACCGTCTGTTCGTCGATCATGTAATCAACTCTAAATATTTGCTTCGCATTGAGCAAAATATTTGAATTGTACATTAGTATGAATTATCCACTTGCCGTGTGGTCTTTGATGATAGCTAGAGGTCCATTATTATTTCTTCGAAGTGAGAAGAATCTGAATAGAGTGTTCAATGAGCCAGGTATGTTGTGTTAATACGGTTTTATAATGATAATTCATCGAGATAATGTCTCTGATATTTTATTTCATCATTCATGCATCCTATTTTGAGACTATCGGTTCGAGTGCTTTATAATATTAGATTAATTCACTCTTTTTCTTTGCAGGAAATGTAACACAAATACGCACACACGTCATAAAGGAAGCAATCCCATCATCTATTATTATCATCGGATATTATAAGGTAGTTAGTTCCTTAGTCTGTTATTCTGACATATTTAACATTTGTTTTTTCTGAATTTTGCTTTTGATTCTTTGTGGATTTTTCCTTTATTTTTTTCTGTATTTTTCGCAAGTTTTAATTCTAATAAAATATATGCACCAAGAAGGATTTTTAAGAGATATTTGAAAAGGATGTGAGTGTGAGTGGGTGTGGGTGAGGATGTGAGAGGGTATGGTTGTGAACTAGGAGCAGCCAACCCCAACATCCACTTACACTCATACCCACATTCACCCACACCCAGCCACAGCCACAGTCACACCCCACTCATACCCACACCCACACGCCTCACTTATATTTATGCGATGCTTTTACATGATCAAACAATCGCTTTAGAATGTTTGTAGCCGTATATGACTATGTGAAAATCCCTCGATTCTGTCATTTCTTTTCTACATTACTAATTAGTCTTCAAAAGATGACTCGATTTGCAGATTAAGAAAAACACAACTGATGCTGTAATGGAAGCTAAAAACAAAAAATTACACGAGGAATTTTAGAGTGTACTTTGTTGACTCTACTTCATAATGAATAAGGAAAGAATTTTGCAAATCGATTCTTCTGTTGCCAAATTGTTTTAGAAGACTGTTCATCAATTAAAACATATCATAAATTATCTAATTATGTAAATTGGTCATTATTTGTTATAAACTTCTTAACGATTATACTAATATTCAAACTGTATCCATCAGTTTATCGAAAACGCCTCTTATCCAGTCACAAATGATGGTTGACTCCGTCTGCTCCTCTGCAAGGTTTTTCTAGTTATACCATCAATGGAACATGGAAGCAATGATAAAAAACGTCAAAATTTGGTGGTGTCATTCACAAACGACTTTTCAAATCTTGTTTCAATTAAGTAATATTGTTTACAAGTGATTCACAAATATGTTTTATTTTATTGGAAGTCCGTTTTTATCTATTTCATTGATTTTTATTAAAACATTTAAAAATTTAGTTTTTGAGTAAAATACCATTTTTTGAATAAAATAACTATTTTTCCACTAAAAAGGTCTTCCTTAGCAAAAATCATGTCTTTTCGGTACTTATTTGGTACAAACACCTATTTGAATACTAAAACACTTTTCTTCCAAAGTCTTTGGCTTTCTAGGTAAATCTCTTATTCTGCAGAGTAAGAGAGTTGAGAGAAAGAATACTAAAAAAATTTTTCTGATTCTTCAATGGTCACATCTAAATTAATGAGGAAAAAATTTTGAATGAGTGGATGTTATGAATATCTCAAAAAATTTCTCTAGCTTCAACAGTTTCTTTTTATCACTGGTGTTGCTGCTGTTGAATATGTGGTCTTAGAAAAACTTTCTTATATCATCAAGACTCAACAAAGACAAAACCATAGATCACAAAATGTGAACTAATGTAACAACAGTTTGCATGTCTCTTTACCTTACCATGGAGAGGAATGAAAATGAAACTTCAAAATTATCAATCTTTAAGTGGTAGAAGTTGATTCACTCTTACCATTATCGTACAGATTTCATACAATGAAAATAGAATTCTTGAATTAAAAAAGAACTCAGAAAGTGAAACAAATATGTTGATTTTTTTAAGGGAAAGAACGTTAGAAAAAAAAAACTTTTGTTTTTGTGTGCATGTACATAGATGCCTGAGTACAAAGGTATGTCTATGGATAAGTCCTTTTCTCACCTACACACTCATACTCAAATATGGAAATTGATAAACAAATTCTTTTTGTTGATATTAATCAAAACGTTTCTTCATCTTTTTCAATTTAGTTCAATAATTGAAATGATTCCACATGAATAGATTGAATAACATACGAAACTTAAAAAATTTTCATCATATGTACCATACTTATTAATAATAAAATTCGATCAGGGTATTATCGGAATCTAATTCTCTCACTGACAAAGTAAATACAACTATAGGTCAATAGCTGAAATAAATTAATATTTGTGTACTTTATCAATAAAGAAGGATGTCAAGTGTGTTTATAGCTATTGTTCAGACCAATATTCACACTCATATCCCAAAACAAAAGTGATTTTATTATATTTTATTTATGACAGTCTGTAGAAAGACGATGTCAGAAATCAATGTTACCACTATAAATACAATTTTTTATCGACTAATTTGATTGAATAGTTATCGAAACTTTTTGGAATCGATCATAATCTTTAATATTTCATACATTAGTGTATTTGCATTTAGAAGACACAATGAGAATAAATGACGAGTATTTGCGTTAGTTTTCATCAATAGTAATTTAAAAATGGATTCAAGATCATTTATTGAAATATTCAGTATCTTATGTTGTAATCGAAGACACAAAGCGACAATTAGTTTATATTCATCTAATGAACAAATATGAGAAATAGCCAAACTTGTAATCTTGTTTCTATTGCGTACCAAACGAAAAAATTCAGTTTGCTGTACTGACACTGGATTTGATTGATACAAACGTATAGAATAAAGTTTTAATGTTTGAATATTGGGTGTAATACTTTATAATTCAAGAAATTGATCGAACCAAAACGCACCCGAATTTATAGTTAGATTAGTTAATTGTGCCAAACAAATAATATGACGGAGGATGGCAGCCGTCGAGTAATTACATCCACACCAAAGAGTGAGTCCAGTGGCCTTTGGAAACTAGAGGGTGTGGGTGTGGGGTGTGGGTGTGGGTGTGGGTGTGGCTGGGTGTGGGTGTGGGTGTGAGGGTGGGTGGCTTGGTGTCTCTCCTAATTATCTACATCGACACCCACACCCCTATTTGACAGTGTTTTTTAACTATTTGAAAGAAGTGTGATCTTTTTAGCTCTTCAACATATTCAGCTATACCACAGGTTATTCATCATACATCTCATCCACCACTGATTATAAATGAACGTGTACAAAATATTCTTGCTTATCATCGCAAACTACTAAGTCTATTTCCTAACGTCTCTTCACATATTGATTGGCACGTTACATTATCATCTACGTCCAATAATATTTTTAGTTCAAAATCTTCAAATGTTCTTGATGTAAATATCAATAATGTTCAACAGCATATGATCCCATTTGATTCAGAAGATTTAGATGATAATGATGTTGATTGGCAATCAATAATTTCTGAAGGAGAACAAAATATTGATGAATTATCTGACAACAGCAACGAGGTGCAGTCAGATCAAAATTTTTGTAGTTATAAGAAAGGTCAATCATCATCACCATCATCATCATCAAACAGCTGCAGTACAAGTTCTGAAGATGAGGAAGAGGAAACTAGCTTGAATCATTCTCGTACACACACTACTCTGGAAATAGCAGTTCTTCTTTCATTATTTCGACATCATCATCAACTATCCAAATCGTCCATCACAGATATTTGTCGTTTATTACATCTACTTGGTGTAAAAAATGTTCCAGCTGATTACAGATCGATATATCGATTAGTAAACCCACTTGGTATATTAAAATTTCTACTAAAACTTGCGGTTGTCTGTCCAACATGTTACAGACTTAATATGGATACAGAAAAATGTCCAGTTTCAAGCTGTACTAGCCATCCTGGATATGTTCGAGCACCAACTGTTAACTATATGTTCACACTTAGTGAGCAAATCAAATCCATTTTAGAACGTATACCGTTGATACACACAGGAACAAACGATGGTGATATGACTGATGTTGTAGATGGACTTGCACATTCAAGTATTCGTGAAATGGAACAACCCCTCTTCATCACTTTAACTCTCAATTCTGATGGTGCTTTGGTTCAGAAAATTCCACGTTCATTATGGATAACTATGATTGTAATTAATGAAGTTCCACGTGATTTTCGTTTTCAATTACCTAATATGATTATTGGAATGATTTCTTATGGTTCACAAAAACCCAAACGAGCTGAGTTTCAGCCATTGTTAGATATTCTAGTTGATCAATTAATTGAATTCGAAGATAGTATTGATGTATGTTTACCATCACCAAATGATACTCGTTCTTCATCAAGTCTTATTGTTAGTCGTGTTGCGGTGTATTTACTTGGAATTGTTTCAGATAAACCAGCTCAATCCATCATCCAGAATATGATTGATATTGGGGGTTTTTATGGGTGTGCTAAATGCCAAGTAGTTGGTAAGTAAATAAAACTTTTTTTAAAGATTTATTATTCTTTAATAACTATATTTTTTCGATATGTCAAGGCAAAAGTGTTCCTGCAGGAAAAGGACACATTCGTTGTTTTCCACTTGATCAAATAAATCCACCTCATCTTCGTTCGAATCACACCTACGATGCAGCTATGAAAGTTTTAGAAAAAGTATGCAAACAAATTTCTCTGCTTTTTAACTCAGATTCTCTTTTTATTATAATAGAATAAAAAACAACGTGCACGTCGTAATTCGTTAACAGGTGCTAACAATGACGAAGCCAACGGACATTTTGGTCCGTGTGCATTGAGAAGACTTCGTCTTTTTAATATGGGACAATCATTTTTAACAGATTCTTTACACAACTTATATTCTGGAATATTTGTAAGTTACTTGTGCATTCTTTTATCTTTTCTCAGCACAATTGTCTTTGTCTTTTAAAATGAATGTGACAGTGGTTTCCATTATTTCTAAAAATCATCCATCAAGATTATATTTTTCTTGGAGTTACAACTTTCGCTATATCAAAAATTCTTGCTTTTCTTTAAAAAAATTATTTCTTTTTTTGATTATTTTAAGAAACAAATATATATCGCTATAGTTATCATTCGAATCACCATTTTCTTAATGTAATCTTTTTTTCTCCAAGAAACAAACATCTTCGAGTATATACTATACAAAGATAAAATTAATCAATAAATACGTTAGCATTATAAGCATCTTAAAAAAACTGAATGAATTAGAAAAGCTATTATCCTCATTATTCTCTTTACTAATCTATTTCTAGTCATTGATTTAACAAATATGTCGATACTGTTGTTTATACAGTTTTTTGTAGCATACAACAAACACTTCTTTTTTATTGATCAACTTTGTTACATAGTCTAAAGTATCTTTATGTTAAAATCAATCTTTCTTTCTTTTGTTTCTAGCTCAAACTACTTAAAATTTGGCTAGAATTACCATCTGATAGAAAAAATACAACAATTAGTATAAGTATTTTTAATCAACGAAAAGAAGTTGAAATTGCTTTTAATGCAATTCTTTTCCGACTTCCACTTATCGAGTGCCGAGATATCTGCAATACTATCATCAGTAGAAAGAGAATGAATTAAGGCTATGTCTTTTAATGGGTTATAAGTCAGTGTTTATTTGATTATCTTTGTTTAAATAAAATTGTGTTTTTGATGTTTTTTTGTATAGTTGTTTTCAACTTGCATTAAACAATAATCAGTACAAACATTTACAAGCATTAGCCTTTTCTCTTCATTTGGCAGACGCAAGAAATATCGACGAGGAAATGATCAAAAAAATTGATGCATTGCTCAAGTACTTCAATCAAGAATTCGAATATTTATACACAGTGAGCACCCGATTAATAAGAAAGCTACGTCATCTTAATAGCAAAACGTCACTTTTCTAGAAACGACACATCGTATCGGTCGTACATTCGGTTGCTCATGTTGCTTCATCAGTTCGTGAATATGGTCCGATTATGAACTATTCCACATTCAATTTTGAATCACTTATTGTTATGTATGTTTTCGGATATCGGTGAAAGAAACTCGTCGAAATATTTAATGGGCATATTCTTTTTTTTAATAATGATCAGTAACGATATAAATTGGGATAATTGAAATAGAATGTGCTAAGGTATGATATAAAAAAAATAAAAATAAAAATGTAAAATAGATTCAATATTGAATTATGTTTATATATAATTTTGAGACGGAAAAGCATATTCTATAAAGCCATTTGATTTTTATATTTTATAGAGAGCCATAGCTTCTTTTAAGTATTACCTGTTAGATGATAGTCACATTCGACAGAGTTGATTTCTTTTTGACAAACTATTCAAATGATTTATTGAGTATTCAGTTATTCACGATCGTCATAATGAAAAAGAATCAGAGTCATATATTTCCAGTCGATACTAAGGAACTTTTGATATCGAAAATAAAAGCAAATGAGATTCGGTTTTCAATTTAATTTACAGGTGCACTTGTTCCAACAGTTCGTGATCCAAGTCAACCATCAAGTGAAATTTGTTATAATCTTGAGCTACTTCATCATAGTTGGCTTGAATTTGAGAAAAAGAATTTCTTACCTTCATTTAAGCTCTTCATTAATCAAATAAATTCCTCTGCGAAGCCAACACGTCCACGTTCTACCAACAACTACTTATCTCCAGATATTCATTTTCATCATCGCATTCAACCATTTTCTATCATTGATTCATATATTAAAAACCGGCAATACGAATTATATCGGACAATCTTTTACAATGGACTGCGATTATCTCACAAAAAACTTCCAACTACCAGTCGAACACATGATGGATGCCTCCTTTATCATGATTCAGATGATACAACCAAGCTGCGAATAGGTTTTCTTCGTTGTGCAATAAAACTAATCGATATTAAACAAAATAATGTTATGCTGTTTATCGAACAAGCTAAGATACTATCGGTTGCTGATACTCTATGTATTAATGATATACAGTATGAATGTACCAATGTGTTACAAGGCTATCTCTGCTCAGTACCTCAATTTGTCTTAGTCAAACCTCAGCAAATCAAAGAAAAACTTGCTTTTCGTGTTCATGAAGCATTAACACCAAACAAATTTGTCTTTTCTCGATATCCAAATTTTTCTGAGAGCACATGAGCATATATATTAAACCTTTCACCTTAATCTGATGCTTCATTCGGAGTTAAATAAAGTATATATATTTTATTATTCAATAAAGAACGATTTCAACATGTAATAGAGAACATTATTTTTCATTTCTTTTTGGTAAAATTCAAGTGTTATCACACACATACAGAGAAAATATGCCTAGAAACTGAGTGCACAAACATTATTAAAAGTGACTGAATAGAGTCCTCATATTTCACGTTACTTTCACTTGTACGTATCGGTAATACAAAATGTCTTTGCCTTCGAGAAATTTTTTAATTATTAACAATAAATGGCAAATTCTATTTTTTATTGCTCATCAGTATTAAGGACACGTTGCTGATTATTAGTTTTCGGTCGCTGCTAAAGCAACAAGTATCAATGTATACCACTTACACGTAAAGTTACGACTTGTTGTTTTTTATTTACTGATACTTGGTTTTGATTCATTCTACTGCAAATAAGTGCCACAAAATAGTTAAATCTACTACTTAATAATTATCACTTACAACTATCTGTTAATTGGTAACAAATGCTATTTACTAACAACATAATAGTCATGTAACGACCTAGTTTTTATATATCGTTAAAACGTGTTTTGCTGATGAAAGCACGATTATAGGACGTTTTTAACCGTTTATTCCAGAGTTGTTTGAGGGTAAACTGTAAAAAACGATGTAAAAGTGAAAAATCTAGCGGTAAACACGTTTGCACGCATTAAAACGCTTCTGCAACGTGTTTAAACGCTGCTATCACCGTTCATTGTCTGCTTGGGTAGTAGATTGATTTGTATCAGAGAGATATAGATCAGTCTGTATTCTATTTAATTTACACCCACACCCCACACCCACACCCTACGTAAGGGTGTCATTGTGGGTGTAGGTGAGTGTCGGAAGAGAAGAAATCAACATCCACAGCCTGGGACCTGGAGCCATAAGCGTTTGCTATTTTATCTTTCCCAAGAAATTCGGTTTATCCATTTATTTCTTGATTTACACTTATCGATACTCATAATTGAGTGTCCTTTGAACTTCTAAAATCGTCAAAAATCCTACGCCAGCGTCTAACCGTTAGTCTGATTAAGTCTTGATCTTCTAGTATAAGATCTGAAAACAATAGAGCGTCATCGTCTCCAGAAACATTGTTGATGACGGGGACGATAAAACTGTTCCCATTTGGTGGAATGTTGGCATTCAGTGCAGCTATTTTTTCTCTTCTAGAGCCTAATATCTGTTTATTAGCTACACTTATTTTTGAGCTGTTGTCTTTTAAGAACGTATCGTAGTTTGCATAATGGAGTTTTTGCGAGAAGAAAATGTTCCTCTTTGAGAGCGAATATTTTGTAATCGTCTGGGAAGTGCAAAGGAGTTGTAAATGGAGCTGAATTAACGGAAAATGAATGCCAGATATTAGAGCACACCATTCCATGAAGTCTTTCGCGTTTAAAGCAGTTGGTCTTGAGTAAGAAGACAAATATTGTCTTATTAAACTCAACATAATGGACCGATTAGTTAACGTATAAATCATAGGCAAAGAATGACCGCTTGGGATCATCAATTGAATGATGCACGATGACCGAGAAATAGTTGTGTAATTGTTGATACGAAATCCTTCCATTTTGTTCAGTACTTCAAAGTTAGACTTCGAGATCGTCCGAAGAAATAGACGATAGATCATTAGTTCTAGTGGTCGTATCATTTTGGCATTCTTCAACTCGTTCTAGAAAATAACGAAACCAGCATTCCACAGACATACGATTTATATGGTTCCTTAAAGCTAAATTTAGAATTGTCTCACATTAATATTTTCTCTCCTTATAAACACTTTACACAAGTTGAAACATACTTATCTCGGCGATACTTACTAATGTCATGAAGAATTCCTTTAGATGTGAATACACGGCTTCACTATTAGAGGCGCTATTGTGAAGATCTGTATCTGTCTCTGCATTGATGAATGCAATCTCCTCAGTCATCAGATTAAGGTATTCAGAGACATAACGACCAGTAGTAATGTTCTGCATCAATACTGCTATTGCTAGGAACGGATTCGATATTCTTGTTTGCTGCCTTAAGTAATTACCAAAAAACTCTAGCTGTTGTTCTTCTTCGCGCTGTCCACTATACAGTTTAACAATGTAGTAATTGTCCTAAATGAATTAGATCTAAACGAAGCTAATTCGTTTTTCGAAGTACCTTAAGCTCTATTGATGAAACCATACTAAAAATGAATCCAATTGACAGCAATACTTCATCATCATCTGGAATTGAGCTTTGTTTCGTAATAAAAGCCACTGGATTGCTAAGCTTTCTTGAGGTATCAATAGTTATTGCAAATATAACCCGTATTTTTTCTTGATCACGAATTTCTCCCATACCTGAGTAGATCTTAGCAATATCTTCATTGCTGGTGGTGGATGTGAAAGAACCGGCAATAAATGCATGATTTTTGTTTTCTGCAAAATAACTAAGTTCTTTTTTATTTATTAATCTACCACGCCAGATATGCAAGGTACTCATTTCCAACAGGTGTTCCTCTTGCTCCCTATGTATTGTTTTTAACTGGGAGTACAGATCAGCAATGAAGAATCGGATTCTAAAAATTAGCTTCAAATCTCTTGAAGCGCATACTTGACGGAGAATTCGAAAAATGAATGTGGGTCTTGTATACCAATGAATAGCTTGGTCGGACGTGTAATTCTTCTCGAATTCATCAATTTGTTTTTCTGTCACTCCGAGTTCATCAATTTTTTCACGACAATATGAAATAAAATTTTGTTTTGCATGACTAGTATTTGGGAAGTCGAGCAACAACTTAATTAACAATTGATTCATAATAAATATCTGAGTCGATTCATCAATTGTATTAAACGGTTGTGAGAGAAAATCTAGTGGTAAAGTGAATATCGGCGTTTCTGAATCTATACATGAATCCATGGTTGACCAGTGTTTTCTCCAAGGTAAATCACATGCACAATCGTAAATACAGAGCACATGTCGGTATTTAAGCAACTCCGATATAGTCTTGTCATCTAAAGGTTCATTTTTCAATAAAATCAGAATTACCTTCTTTCCAGTCAGCGATACAAGTGCATCAACACATTTCTGAACATCATAGAATGCATAGACATTTTTCACGACGTGGAATAAATAGATATTTCGACGTTCTTTTTGCGAATCCCCATTGGCATCGGTATTTTCACTAAGTGTAAAAATAACATAATTTTCCAAATGCTCTTCCGCCGCGTTCAATTCTTGAAAACTATAATTGCAGTTGAAATCTGACGTCATACTTGTGTAACTACCTGTAAAAGAATGAATCATCGTTTAATTTAGCATCACAAATGTCTTCCAAGAATATGCATTTTTTAGACCACCAGACTATGATCTTGTGGAACTTTGAAAAACGATGCAGTTTCTTCTTCTTTTTTAGTATCTACTAAATATCCTTTGGGTGTGAGTGTGGGTGTGGGTGTGGGTGTGGGGTGTGGGTGTGGGTCTAAGCGTGATATACACTCACGCCCATCCACACCCACACCCACATCAACATCCACATCCACATCTACACCCACACCCACACACTCACACCCACATCTTTTGGTTCAATGAATCTTATACAGATAGACGTCCCCTAGCTTGCCCTTTCGAGTGGTGAAAACCCGAACTCGACAGATAACAGCGTTCAAAAGTTATTGAAAAAACAGTGGAGGCTACTTTTAAAAGAATTCGATATCATTAATATATATAATATGGCCTAATAATCACCTTTATCTAAGTGCAGTATCAGAATTAATTACGTAATTTAACTATGATATTGTGTAAGTAGTTTTCAGAAAAATTTATGAAGCACCAAATAGCGTGTAAAACGTCGAGATTTTCGTAAAGTTTGATACATATTTTGTTTTCAAAACTGAATTCAATATTTGAGTGTAGGTATGTGTGTGGATGTTAATTAATAAATTCCTGACTGTAGCATCCATACCCACACTCTATTACACTTTGTGGATGAGTTCCTAACTTCATCGATCGTAGTAGCTTAAAATTTAAACATTTTAGTGAAAATTCCTAGAAAGCTTGATTTTTTGTTTCATCATTAGATGGCTTTTTTCCCTTTCGTTTGCATGTTAGGGAACAGCAAAATTCATGCTGTTGAAGACACACGCAGAAGTTTACAATAATAATGGCGTAACTTGCTTTGATGAATCATGTATGTTACACGTAATTACAATAAAAGAACAAAATGATGCAAGACTAGTGCAATTTTACTTTTGTATATAAAGAAAACGTGTCATTCATTGAGTTTTTATTTTTCTTTTACTACTGTTGCATTACAAGAGATCAAGTATGGATAATACACCATCATCAAACAATTCTTCACAAGCCACTGATGATTGTACCATATGTCTTACTAGTCTGACACCTGGTACTCCACTTCTTACTCTTTCCTGTAACCATAAATTTCATTTTCAATGTTTGGCTTTGAATATTCAAGCAAAAAACAATGAATGTCCTTTGTGCAGAGCTACAATTGATGCATCTGTTCTTCAACTACTTGGTAATCCTAGCCAACAACTGTCAACACAATCCCAGCTAACACCGCTGCCTCAAACCGGGCAAGTTTCAACCAATGATGCGAATGCGATAGCTTCAGCTGCAGTAAGCAATATTCTATGTTATGATTCATTTCTACAAAGACTTATCTCATTTGATTCGAATGATCCATAGATAACGAAGTTTTGATGTCACGCAAAAAGTCAAATTAAATGCTTCTGACACATAAACTATCCTATTTGAGACTCATCAGCTGTATAAAAAAATAGGCTTTTACCTCTGTAGCGCTATTTGAAAAGCATTTTGTGAAGTTATGAAGCAGCATGAAAAGTTAAGCTTGAAAAAACTCAATGTCTAGCGATGTTTTCAGTTGTTATTTGTGCATTTCGTTTAGACTATTCCGTCTGTTGAAGATCTGATTGATGAGACTGCTGCAAGAGTTATTTCTGAACGTTTTATTGCTGCTCGGCAAGCTGCTGTTATCTCATTGAATGAAGCCAATAATTTTCCTGTGATTACTGTTATAACAACATTGGAACGTGAAGCTCAAGTTCCACATGAAGAGTCCAATCTGTACGGACTCATTACTTTGCAAGCACCGCCTGCTTTACAATTCGATAATCAACCAATAATGCAATCACGTGCTCCTATCGATCTTGTTTGCATAGTTGATCAAAGTGGATCGATGGGAGGACAAAAAATTGCCTTATTAAAAAAGACGCTGATTGATATCGTCGACCAATTGGGTGAACTTGATCGTTTGGCCATTATTTCCTTCAACACTGGTGCTATCGATCGTTCTCATGGACTCAAACGAATGACTCAACAAAAGTAAGTTAACTAGTCAGTAATTGTCATTGAATAAGTCATCACTCCTTTTTCCTCTAGTCAACAAGTCTTGAAAACTGAGATCAACAGTATTTCCAGTGAAGGAGGTACCTACATTGGATCTGGTCTGCAAATGGGTATCGATTTAGTAGTCAACCGTCAGACTAAGAATCCACTTGCTACTTTACTTGTGCTTACTGATGGTCACGACAATCAAGAACATGACTACACTCAAATTATGAGTACTTTGCCTGAAGGAGTCCAATGCTACACTTTCGGCTACGGGTTAGATCATAATGCACAATTGCTAGTGAAACTAGCTGAACAAGGAAATGATGGCACTTTTACATACATTGTAAGTGTCATTTTTAGGTTCTTATTTGATATCTCAATGTTCTAAATATGCATCGATCTTTTCAATAGGATGAAGAACGAGCTGTATCTACCGCTTTTTCAATGACGTTGGTAGGGTTATTGTCATGCATGGCACAAAAGATTGAAGTCAATGTTGAATTCATTGATGACTATAAGATCAGTCATTTTCTTTCGCAATATAAATATGAACCCGAACAACTTCCATCAATGAAACTATCCATCAAATTACCTAATCTAAATGCTGATGAAAAACGAAATCTTGTCTTTCAATTCTATGTTCCCAAAGTAAATGATGATCAAAATGTTGATATGTCTAGCCAACAATCAACGACGACACAAAGCGAGACAGCTACTGAGCAAAACCTATTTGAAAAGCAAATCATTGGTAAATATGACAGGAATTTTTTTAATGATCATTTTCGAAGTTGTCTCATCAATCATTTACATGCTTTTCTTAGGGCATGTCAGCGTTTCGTATATTGATCCAAATACTACACACTCAATAACAACACCTCAGGTTCCCTTCTATTTTATTCGAGCACCTAATCTACCAGCCGATCTTCTTCGAGTAAATTACCAACTTGATCGTCAACGAAATCGTATAGAAACAATTGAAGCACTCGAAAGAGCAATGGCCGAACGTGATTATGAACAGTCACGTGTTATTCTTGCATCTCAAGTAGAAAAACTTAAGGCCAGTGTATCTGCACAAGATCCATTTTGTCAAGAATTGATTCGAGATCTTGAATATTCTTTCCCATCGGAACAAGAATATCGTTCGACACACTATACTTCATCTAGATGTCATGCAACTGAAAGAGGTGCTTACCTCCCAACATCAACTACCAGTTCAGGACGTTACCATACTCGACGTCAACAAGAACTAATTGAACGATATAAACGAAATGTGTCTCCATGAATTTGAAGAATGCAAAAAAAAAACGCAAAACTCAACTGAATTGCATTGATATAATCTTTGTTTGTATACATGATATACTTGAATTAATAAAAGTCTTTCTCAAAAACAAGCTTTGTTATAGATAGGTAAGATTGTATAGTTTAAACTTTAAATGTCTTCTTCATAATTGACCATTGTCTTTCTACTTGAAAATCTCCAGCACAACTTTAAAGAATATGGGCAACACTTATTCTATTATTTTCTTTATCCTTCCATAGTAAGGAAAGAGAGTGAAGTAATGCAATGCAAGATATAATATAGACATTAAAAAATGTTAGATAAAGTACAGGAAAAATGGGGTGTGGGATGTGAGTAGAGAGAAGAATAAATTATACTCGCATCCATCACTCACTCACGCCTACTTCTTATTTTCAATTGTTTTATTTGATCAAAGATTTCGAATGCTCAAATGTAGTCCTGTCACTCGATTTCTACAACCACTGTTAAAAAGTTCTCCTTGATTTTACCGCTCTAGTGTTGATCGAAGATATGACTACAAAAAGAAACAGAACAGAGCTCTGTGATATGAAAGACATTGAAGAAAAGAGTAACCGTCATAACAACAGAAAAGAAGAAATGAAACGAAAAGACGAGCTACACAAGAAGAAACGCAATTAGATATGAATAATGGTTAGCAAACACTGATAACAATCACGTTTTTCAAAAACGAAAAAGTTAAAAAGAAGGAGAGAAATACTGCAATTCAAGCAAGCATATTGACGTATTACAATATCGCTGTTCTAGTACAGATTAAGCCGCTTAATTTAAATGTGATAAAGAGACGAATCAATGCCCACTGAAACGGATGTTTGCCGTTAAAGTTGAGCCTGGTAAAATCTTGCTACCAATTAAAGGTTACTCACCTCGACAATGTAATATTATTATTTCTTCACAATTAGGAGCCTTCGATAACCAATGTCTTGAGTATACACATTTAGCTGTTCTGTGTAAGCTAACATTATTTTCAAAAGTGAAAAATGACGGCGCATATTATGTCTTCTCCCTTTCACTCTGTTATCACCGAGAAAGCAACGTGATGGCATGACAACAGAACGGAACAAAAGAATACTCCTCTCGAAGGAATCGAACCCACGTCTTCTGCTTTCCTGGCAGCTATACTACCACTATACTAGAAAGGAGTGTTATCGTTCTTTCGTCGTTCCGTCTTATAACCAAATGGGAACACTTTGGTTATAACAGCACAGTTTGTTTCTTTTTCATCAGCTCTATGTTAAAAGCATACAGTTAATGGTACTGACTGTCCTAGTTTGTTTAACAGTCATTTGTTTCAGAAATCATCATATGGGTTGCAATCAGACTAAGGTTTCAACTGCTACAACAACGAACAACAGTACTTCGCCAATTGCTACCATTCCTGTTGTCACTACACGAGTTGTTGACGCAAGCAGTTCACAAATAACCACACATGACACTACAACTGTAATTGATCGTGAGCAAATAAATCTTGAATCTCATCAATTAGTTTGGTGTGATGTTGGTATAAATGACAATGAAAATATTGTTACAATTGAGAACCTACGCAAAATTGTTGACTACACAAAGTTGTTTGATAGCGTTCAGAAATGTCAACAGTATCTTGAAAATCAACAAGACAACAGTACAACATTTCTAGTAACATCGGGTCATCTTGGAGAAAGTCTTGTACCAAAAGTTCATCATCTTCAAAATGTATTGGTTATTTTTCTCTACTGCCACAATAAAGAGTATTATCAACAATGGGCTTCAAAATATGAGAAGGTATAAACATTATATCAGTTTATTTTCACAGCTTGATTTCATATTAGAGTTAATCTCGCTTCTATGAAAGATTTGGGCGTGAATAAGACGAGAAAAATGTGTTGCGTCATGTAGACATATATTTTAACTAAACAGATTTAATAAGGCCAAAAGGTTCCTACATCGGAAACTAGATGAAGCGACGTCGCCACTCTAAGAGATGATCTATTTGAAATACTGTACTTAATTTTTTTATGATAAATAATGTAATTTTTATACATATGAGTTGTTTTAAGTTACTCAATTATTCAAATACAGTTTTTATGATGTATTGACCTCGGCGATCTCTTCATGAAATCGTTTTCTGAGAAGTCAGATCAAATTTGTCTACAGAATATATGTAACTTCGTTTGTTCCAAATATCAAATGTATTGCGTTTATTTTTTTTCACTTCTATTTTATCGAATAGGTCAAACATATCCATACAGTCCTCGATCATCTGTTAGATGATCTTAAAAATGACGTTCAGAACTATCTAAAGTCTGAAAAAAATGGCAATATTGTCAGCTCATTGAAACAAGAAAATAGTATTGATGGAGCATTTGAATGGTGGCTGAATCTAACGAAACTTCTGGTTAATATACCATATCCTGAAAATTGTCGACTCAAACTCGTAACTACTTTGAAAGATTATTATAAAGGTAAAGAATCAGAACTGAAGATTTTAGAAGAATTCGAAAAAGACTATAAATCAGAGAAAGCTATTTGGTGGTATACACGTGAAGCATTTGTATATCGTCTAGTAAATCGTGCAGCGCGTCAAAAGGATCTTCATATAATGTTTTTATTTGGATTTATCGTTCAAGATTTATATCATCAATTAAAACAAGAACATGAAAAGTTCAAAATATCACATGCAGATGATCCCATTATAAAAAGTTATCGTGGACAAATAATGTTACATAGAGAAATCACTGCATTAAGTGATAGACCAGGCCCACTTTGGCTTAGAAATACGAGTTTTCTTTCTACATCGTTGCATCGTGAAATTTCATGCAATTTCTTACAAATGTCAACACTCGCGGAAGGCTTGGAACGAGTTTTATTAGAAATTGTAATTGATACACAGGAGGAGTCTCAGCCATTTGCCGATATTTCACATTTGAGTGAAGTTTCAAGTGAAGCAGAAATTTTATTTATGATGGGTACATCAATTTTCATTGACGAAGAAGGAATATCATACGACGAAAAGGAAAAACTTTGGAAATTTAATGGAAAATTAGGAACAGATTGGGTATGGGATGATCAACACCTTCAGGCAACGTCAACGAGGAACCAACTGGCACATTGTTTGCGTGATTTCTACAAAGAAACTGAAAATAAACCTCTTGATGAAATACACAATATTTTCAATGAATTGTTGAATATTTTTCCATTAGAAAAATGGATAACAGCTGTAAAAGCTTCGTGTCTTGGAGCCATTAATCTTAAGTGGCCACTGAGGGACCATGCTAAAGCGTTAAAATATTATGAAAAATCTTTATCAATTTGGTTTGAATTTGTAGATGATGATGAATTGCAATGCTATCTTGATATTGTCCACATCTATGAACAAATTCGGGATATTGTGGAGGAAACAGACTTTGATGTTGAAGATTACGCATTTACTGATAAACAGTATGATTTAGCTATCGCTCAAGCTCAATCATTACTTGAAAAATGTAGTGATGAATCCCAGCAAACTATAATACACGTTCGATTGAGTTGGTTATACATACAGAAAGCAAATATGAATACTGACGACACTAAGAAGGCAGAAAATCTTCTGTTGGCTCTTCGTCATAAAAAACTAGAAATACAAACATTAACCAACTCTTCAACGTCTAGTGATCAATATACACGAACCGCTTCTTTATATAATCAAATAGCTAATCTTAATGAAATGCTATTCAATTATGAAGAAGCTCTAACAAACTATAGCAAAAGTCTAGAAATTCAATGTGAATATCCAGTATATAATTATGCTGATAACTATAGTATTGCTACTACAGCAATAGTTCGAATTTATATTGACAAGAAACATGATTACACATCTGCACTTAAATATCAATTATTGAAACATGAATATATACTAAAAAAACCAATAGACGAAGATTATGAAGATGATGACATCAAAAACGGTGAAATAGCTGATAGCCATGTCGTATTAGCTAATATCTATAGAGAAATGCATCAGTATGTCTCAGCGACTAAACATTTGACGACAGGTATTGAATTATACAAAGAAGATAGATACGAAGACCATAAAGAGAAAATTGAAAATCTACTTCAGAAGCTCGAAACACTAAAGTCCTTATTAACGTCATCTAATTCTTCCAAACCGACATAATCAATCAACAATATATTGCTATCCACGCTGTATCACATGACTTTTATGAAGTATTTGTCATTTTACAGGAATCTGAGTATCGTCTTTTTCTTCACTGATACCAACATTCCACATCCACATTCACATTCACATCTACATTCATAACCCAAAATCTCGTTATGCAATCAGTGATGACTATGAAAGCAAAATTCCGAAAGGTTATTTTTTAAGTTTTGTTCGATATGTGTGCTATAACATTATTTTATTCGAGAATATCAATTATTTAGTATTTCGATAGAAAAGTAGTCCGAAATAAATATTGATTTCTATTAAAAATTTGTCTTCCTAATCTTTTTTGTCTTTTAAAAATAACTATTTGACATTTTTCCTTATTTGTAATAAAATCATTCCATACTGTCTCATTGATTAAAGAAAGTATTAACTTTATTTGCTTCATTTAAAACTAACTTAAAAAGAACAAACTCTTCACATTTATTTTTTGTATTATTGAAACATATTTACGATATAACAGTCTCTTTTCATCGTTTTATTCTTATGATACATGCTTTTAAAAATACATCTCCAATTGATTGTATGTAAAAGTTCATGTTAGAAAAAATTATTTTGAATTATTTTGAAAATTGAAATTTGATTTTTCCTTGAGATTTTGCACAAATAATGTTCTTCATGCGACTCGTTAATTTTGCAAGCTTCTGTCTTGAGATACGTTTATTGAAAATTTATTTGTATGAATAAAAAAATTTCGTTCTTAAATTTGTATCTCATTATGAAAACAAAATTGCAAATTCAACATTCAACGTGACATCACAAGACTACGAGTTCTTTTTAAGTTCAATAAAAAAATCTGTTTTTACGAAAACTTACAAGCACAAGTGTTAGCGTCCATGATGAATCACTTGGACGCTAAACGATGATTAAGATGCGCCTTCTAGTCTAATTGGCTTAGGACATCTGCTCGGATAGCAGAAGGTATGGGTTCGAGTTCCATGAATAGAGATGCACCAGTCCTATAAAGTCGATATCAAAGATAAACGCTTTTTGGTATCTAAAACCCCCAGTCCTTACCAGTCCTTCAGGTCATTTATAGTCAATTTTGATTAGGCTAGCCAACGCTACCATCGAACTTTACAAAACTAGATGAAAAGAAAAAAGGACTGGGGAGGACTGGTAAAACAACCGTAAAATTCCGAGTTTTGACCAGTCCCCCCCCCCCCAGTCCTTTTTTCTATTCATCTAGTTTTGTAAAGTTCGATGGTAACGTTGGCTAGCCTAATCAAAATTGACTATAAATAACCTGAAGGACTGGCAAGGACTGGGGGCTTTAGATATCAAAACTCGTTCATCTTTGATATCCACTTTATAGGACTGGTGCATTCCTATCCATGAAGGTCATCTTTTTCATCGTTCTGTCACATAACATCAGTGACACTGCTTGTCTCTCTTTCGTTCTACATATATGGAGCTAACAACAAGAAGTTAAATAAGTATTTGTTGGTTGTTGTAATTGAAGAGATTGGTCATGACCTCGTTTTTATGTGTGCGATGTGGAAACTCCTGTATTGCTTATCTCTGATATAGTATTTGTCGCCTGCGTGCTCGATTTACTATCTACAGACCCAGAGCCATCGATAACCTTTTATTAAATCTTCTCTTTCATGTAGAATAAGCAGGTTTTCAAGGAAAATTTTTCCTCAGACTCATTAACATAAGTATTTATTAAATGAAATATTCTACGTGAGTTCTATTAAAATTGATACTGATGAATAACATAAAAAAAAACCATGTTGAATATGTAATAAAAGAAAACAAACAGGGTGTAGGTGTGGGTGTGGGGTGTGTGGGTGTGGGTGAATGTGGATGTGTGTGGGTGTGGGTGTGGATGGGTGTGGGTGTGGGTGTGGATGGGTGTGGGTGGGTGTGGGTGTGGGTGTGGGAGGTGTGGGTGTGGGGTGTGGGGTGTGGGTGGGTGTAGATGTTTGGGTATGAATGAGCATTGAAACAACCACAACGACAACCAAGCCGAAACCCATCGACACTCACACCCAAACCACACTCCACACCCCCACTCCCACCCCACCGACACCCACACTCACACCCCGACACCCACACCTACCCCACACAAACGCATTTTCTTCCGTATGAGTCTCTCGTCAGTCAAGGAAATTATGGTCATTTATATGTATAATTACGTGTAAATATTTTTCTTCATAATATACATTTACAAATAAATATAAATGATCATAAATTATTATTTATTTTTAATGTGAACTATTTTAAGTTATATTTATTTTTATATACAAATTTCGAACAAAATATTTATATTTATTTTAAATATAAATTATCGATCATTTACTTTTCTCACAAATTAAATTAAAAATAAATATGAAGAGTGAATCCTATTTGAAGACATTGCTGTATTGAATCTAAAAAGAAAAAAAAATCATGTAAAAAATTTTTATACTTACAACATTGTTATTTTGATATTGAGCTAAATAAAGAAAACATATATACTTACAAAAATAAGGAGCATTTACTTAAGACATGTTATTCATATGAATCTAAAGAAAAAAAAACATATAAATCGGTTTATACAAATATAGACTTAATTTTAACATTTTATTCGGATGAAACTAAAACAAAAAAAGAAATAATTCTTTAGAAAACTTTAATACTTCAGTTATTTTGAGTTTGAGAATAAATGAAATAAATGAAATAAATGAAATAAATGAAATAAATGAAATAAATGAATACATTTAAATAAATAAAGGATACTTACTTTTAGCAGGCTGTTCCAATGAATTGAAATGTAAAAGATACAAAAGTATTTGTGAAATTTCAATACTTATAATATTCTGAGTTTCATATTCAGCCAAGTAATAGAGGGACATGATGATATTTAAGTAAAAAATACTTTTATGATATGTTATCGAATCTAAGGAGAATAGAAAAATCATCAAGCACATGTTAGAATAAAAATAGACATAAAAAACTAGAAAAAATACCACTTTCATGAAAGGGTAGAATAATAAACCTTTTTTATTTTCAAATATCCCTAGTTTAATAAAGTTTTTTGTTCAAAAATCCTTAAATGGTTTAGTACACTAGCATCAAAGCTGTAAAAGTTTAGGAAGATTTTCCTTAGTATTAGGGTTAATTATTTTACGAATTTTTTACAGTGTATCTTCACTAGAGATTTGCTGTGATCAACCCATGCGAAGACAATTCTCATAAATGAATTATTTAAAAGGACAGCTGGCTAATGTGAGCTCAAATTTATATGATTAAAGGAAAAAGAAATGCATTCTGCAAGTTGTTCTTCTCATTCTAGTCGTTACTAAACATTTATTTTTTTTCTGAGTGATTATTGACAGATTATACATAAAAATTGATTTTAAACGTTGAAACCTTCTATTTTAGTTGACAATATAGAGTTTGAAAGAAAATATAATTAATTCATTTGTCTACATATGTCTATGATATAGATCTTTCTATGGATTTATCTACTTAACAGTTCATTTTGTATATTTCTTTTTTTTTCAATGCTGTTGAAGTTTTTCAACTTTTCTAATTGACCTTGAAGTTCTTTCTTGAAAACTGTTTGTGGTATGCTTCTGAATCAATTACAAGAAACGTATGTCAAAATTGATCAAATTGTATATAGTTTGAATTTTTCAGATTTCCGAAGACTGCATCTATTTGACAGAAATAATGTTGAAATATAACAAGGAGTATTCGTTACTAACAGATTCAGTTTTTTCTGAGCTACACAATGATAGATCACAATCAAAAATAAAGATGTTAGAAAGAATGTCTAAATTATTTTCCAAGTGACGTTTGAAAGTAGGTAAGATAATAAGTCAAGTCGATTGCATGGCAGTCTATATATTGAGTTCAAATCATTTCTGAATGTTGTAATCATATAAATACTCTTAACTCTTATTTTACTATTCCTATGCTACTTCTAGTCATTACTGATTCCAATATGCTCTTTGTTTAGTCTTCGTTTGTTAAAGGACGGGGGACGTTTTGTGTTGAAATCGGCCCTCCTAGAAAGCACTTATAGTTTTACATGAAACTTTCAGCAACTGTAGGGTTCATAGTCAGTAATCATTCCTGTGAGTTTCAGCTTGATCGGTCAACCTTTTCCGTTACATTGGTACTCAGCCATATAGGCCGTATTGAACCTTCTAAGGATCAAAGAATCGCTTATTTTAGACGGAGTGTTTACATGCTTTCACACTCGATTTACATACCATTCTATAGAGAATTTAATTCTGAACAAGAAACGTATAGATGTCTACGAGTAAAAACCAAAAATTCACTACAACAAATTCCGAATACTCTTAATACGTGGTCATATACAGGCTTTTTTGGAACCTTGTGTAGCTTCGATCTCCACTATTTGATTCAGAACCGGAACCATTCTTTCAGGGTCAATACTAATGATTGAGAGTTACAAAAGTGCTCGAACAAGTGCCTGCAGGAACCTTGTGTTCGATTTTTTATGTGATGCATACCACCCCCAATATTCATCAATGTACTATACTGAGAAGCTTGTGTACCTTCGATCTCCACTATTTGATTCAGAACCGGAGCCATTCTTTCAGCGTCAATACTAATCATTGAGAGCTACAAAAGTGCCCGAACAAGTGCCTGGAGAAACCTTGTCTTCGATTTTTTATGTGATGCATACCACCTCCAATATTCATCAAGGTACTATACTCCCCCTCGGACAAAAAAAAGGAAAATTTTCTATTAGCTCGTTCTCCTTTGTTTTTCTATTATTATATCTTCATTCATATATGCATGGATAGAGCAAAGAGTAAACTACATTTATATATATGTAGGCCATTTGACTGACTTATTATTTCAAATTTCTTCAATATATACAAAAAGGTCCCATTTTCGTGATATTCAACGAACAAAAACTTATAATTTAAACTATAATAAGATATGAAAGTAGGTAAAGAAAAGATGATAATCCGAACGAGACAGAGGAGAATATATATATGCAGACAATTGAACGAGACAAAAAGGAACATATGGAACATAAAGAACAAAGAAAAAGAAAAATAAGTAGGACAGCATATATATATATGAGATAATCAACGAATAATATATGACAACTGAAATGGCTCATTTTGACGATATTGAACGAACTCAAATAATAATGGAAAGAGAAAGAGACAGAAAGAAGATAACAACAATTGCAGCAAAGCATCACTGTTCGACTGGTACTGCCCAAAAATATTATCTCGTTACTACAACACGGGAAATATAACTGGGGGAGTATCATCTGGTCGTCCACATTCTCTCTCATGAGGGAACGTTCCCAAGTGATTAAAAGCTTTGGAGCTCATATGTTGCCCATTAGGTAGGGAACCACTAGATTAGAGAGACCTCCACAGGATTCGTGCCCATATTGAGATTTGACAGAGATATCGAATTTTTAGTGGATTTCTCCTGCTGGACCCTAGTTCTACAGCAAAATCATATTTTCGAATTTCGATCTGAAACTTTGCCCAAATGAAGGCTTCGATTAGAGTAGCTTATATGGAAAATTTCAGAATTTTTGGACATTGCATTTCCAAGGTATCAATTTTTGAAAATATAGACACTTTTCTATAGATAACATGGATACTTTGAAAGATTGATACCTTGGAGATGCAATGTCCAAAAATTCTGAAATTTTTTATACAAGCTACTCTAATCGAGGCCTTCATTTGGGCAAAGTTTCAGATCGAAATTCGAAAATATGATTTTCCTGTAGAACTAGGGTCCAACAGGACAAATCCACTAAAAATTAGATATCTTTGTCAAATCTCAATATGGGCACGAATCCTTTGGAGGTCTCTCTAATCTAGTGGTCCCCTACCTAATGGGTAACATATGAGCTCAAAAGGTTTTAATCACTTGGGAACGTTCCCTCGTCAGGCGTCGAAAAACAAAAATTGGATAAAATGATCAAAAGAAAACCAACAGCTACTGCAACAGCACTTGCAAATGAAATATTCGAAAATACCGGTAAACGTGTTAGCGCTAGAACTATCCAGCGTTATCGTCGTGAATTAGTATACCGTCATTATCATCAAAAAATAAAAAAATCACTCACATCGATACAAGAGGAGACCAAAACTGCTTTTGCACAATTACACGCCAATGATAATATTAAAAAATGGTTATTTTGTGATGAAAAAATATTTACGATGAGCGATGTCGGTACTATTGCATGGTGTAAGCCTGGCGAACCACGACCTACACATGTTGTTGATAATATCAAAGCACATGCACAATTATGGGGTGTAATTGGTTGGAATTTTAAAGCATTTAGTAGATATGATGGGTATATGAATTCAGCTACGTATCACTATCTCCTCTCTACTCATGTAGGACCACATACTTCAGAATTGCGAAGACACAAATTCTACCAGGATAATATTTCATATCATAAATCAGGACCAATTCTTACGTGGTTTAAAAATGATGGCATTCAAGTCCTAGATGCTCCTGCATATTCTCCGGAATTTAATGGTATAGAATATGTCTGGTCTTGGATAAAATCGAACATAGCAGCACAACAACCAAAAACAGCAGCACAATTAAATGCAGCAATAGACAATGCATGCAATGATATACCACAGAAAGTCATACAATCTTACATTTCTCATGCTTTAACTGAAATTCAAGAGAGAGCTAATGAATAGTCTCTTGTATATTATGTGTGTAATTTATACTGTTATATATTTGTGTCTGATATAATTATTTAATAAATATATCCTTATAAAACAGCATAATTCCTTGTTGAAAAAAAAATTTTTGTCTCGAAAAGAGTATTATTTTTGTTCGTTGAATATCACGAAAATGGGACCTTTTTGTATATATTGAAGAAATTTGAAATGATAAGTCAGTCAAATGGCCTACATATATATAAATGTAGTTTACTCTTTGCTCTATCCATGCATATATGAATGAAGATATAATAATAAAAAAACAAAGGAGAACGAGCTAATAGAAAATTTTCCTTTTTTTGTCCGAGGGTGACTAAATGAAGATAAACCCCTCGACACATTAGAAGACCCCCCTATAATAGAAGACCCCCCT